TCTATAAATTCGACCTTATTCCGTAGTGTAGACATACCCTTAGAAAACAAAGCTTACTTTTATTGGAGGAGATTCCTGGGTGGTATCAATCTGATGACTGAACCCTGTTTGGCCTAGTAGCACATGTGAGTAAGAAATCAGAGTCTTACAGGAATATTTCTTAAGTGCTAATAGCTTTTTTGGAAATTGTCAGCCAAGAATATTGCAGTAGGGCCACATGTTTGCCTTTTGGTTAATTCACCTATGCCTGTCAGTTACCTGGGAGAACGCTCCTCTTCATATATAGAACTGAGAAGGCACAGCACATGCACAGAACCTTACTCTAGTCATCTTGTGTGGTTGCTTCTAGTAGTTTTCCAATCAGGATACACTTATGCCATTGTGGCCAAAGAGCCTAGCTAGACCACACAGTGACAGATGGTTTCTATGCAGTAGGATTGCAAGGACCTTGATCATAATGAATAATAGGTAGAGAAAGTCAAATTCTATACTTTTGATATGCAGTAATATTTATTTAAAATTAAAGAAATAAAGCAGATAATTTAATAACATGTATTTTTCTCCTGTATTTATTATTGCCTTAATATTGCAATTGAAACACAAAGCAAGGATAAAGAATATTGGTTGGGAGTGCTGGAGAAGAAATACATCACTTCTAAAAAGAAAAGGAAGGTGCAATAGTTTTCTGGCCCATTCAATAATTTTTTTTGGCTATCTAAATAATGACATGGGGTATAGCTGCTGATGCATATGGGTATTGTATAATGGCCTTACCACATAAATTAATGTTAATTTATGAGGGATTAAATCTAGTGAGAAATACAATATATTTTAAATTAAAACATTCTAAATCATCAATCTTTCTATTTACTGTTTCAGAGTAGCAGCCGTGTTAGTCTGTATCCGCAAAAAGAAAAGGAGTACTTGTGGCACCTTAGGGACTAACAAATTTATTTGAGCATAAGCTTTCATGAGAGTTGTAGCTCACGAAAGCTTATGCTCAAATAAATTTGTTAGTCTCTAAGGTGCCACAAGTACTCCTTTTCTTCTATTTACTGTATTATAGCCAGCACTCAGAACAGAAAAAAATGATAATATACATCCCTCAAACTCACCAACTCTCACTTTTTTCAATAGCCCCTTTCCTTTTTTAATTCAGCAGCAGTAAGGTATGGAAGAGAAGGTATAAAACACCCAGCTATAATTTTTTTTTTTTAATTCAAACAGTGGTTGGAGTTGTAAAGATTTAGGAAGATATTTTTGGTTAGCAAGTTATCAAGCGTAGAATAACATAAAAACCCAAGCAAGTGAGCTGGCTGCGTTTGATCGTGGGACAGTCAGCTGGGACAGTCAGCTGGGATTTGATACAAGTAATCAGGGTTATTGCGTCTGAGGTTGTTTCCACAGCTTTGCAGGCCGTACAAAGGTGTAATGGTTCGCCCAGATCTAGGACATTCCACTCAGGTGATTGCAGGAGATGGGGCAGACACTGAGGGCAAGGGTGAGTTAAATAAGGATCCCATACCAAAATGATGTGGCAAAGTTGGGGATTGTGGGCACTAGTGGTTCTTGAGGCTTTATCCCCCTAAAAACAAAAAAAACATGATGTGGTATCACTTGGGCCAGCCAGAAACTCTCAGTTGACCCCCACCTCTCCCATAAGCAGATGCAGGGTATTGCACAGCTGATACAGGCTAACTGTAAGTTCCTCAAACACGGGGACAGCCATGGGAGAGGTGTCTTGCCAAGGCTGAATTCTTTAGCTATGCTTGTGTTACGGCTGAAGCTTGCCCAGAGAGAAGCCTGGCCTTGTTAGATATATATAAATATAATTGGACGGGCATGCAATACATTCAATGGCATACATCTAATCACAGCAGTCGCTGTTACAGCACTGGGCAGGCATGCAATACATTCACGGGCATACATTTCTTTATAGCAGTGGCTTTTGCAGCATCTGTGTGTTCAGGCATGCATGCAAAACATGTTTTGGGGCTCATACGGCACATTCCTGCCACGTTGGTGAGGGGAGGTATAGGACGCAGGGTAGAACAAATGGCACCTGCAGGTAGGCCCTGTTTGAACAGGGTGTGGGTGACAGAAGGCAGACCAGTGCAAGGGGCCAGCTTCAAGCATTGGAATGGGCTAAGGCATACTGTGGGACTACCCCAGCAAAGCAAATGGGTCAAATTTATGTGCTGGGTTTTTTAATGGGGGTTCTTAACATAAGAACATAAGAATGGCCATACTGGGTCAGACCAAAGGTCCATCCAGCCCAGTATCCTGTCTACCAACAATGACCAATACCAGGTGCCCCAGAGGGAGTGAACCTAACAGATAATGATCTAGTGAGCTCTCTCCTGCCATCCATCTCCACCCTCTGACAAACAGAGGCTAGGGACACCATTTCTTACCCATCCTGGCTAATAGCCATTAATGGACTTAACCGCCATGAATTTATCCAGTTCTCTTTTAAACCCTGTTCTTATCCCCTTTATATAAAATAATAATAATTAAAGTCAAGGGTGGGGTTTGGCCATGATGTTAAGTCAATAATTCCACAAGAATGAATTTGAGATATAGGGGCAGGGCCATCCAGCCAGTTGCTCCTGGACAACTTGTGGGTTTCCCCCAAGACTAGTTTCAAGCAGCAATGGAATGAGCTATGGGCTCCGGTGGGACTACCCCAGCAAGGCTGTTGGGTCAAATTTGTGGGCTGGATTTAATGGGGGTTCTTATCCCCTTTATGTGTTTTGCCCTGAGGCTTGGCCCCCAGAAAGGCTCCAGGGAATTACACTGCTTCATAACCTGTCTGGGGTTGACGGTGACATAGCACATGCCTTGTCTCATTTTCAGGTCCACAGATTTCTGGAGTTGGCACCAGGAGCCAGCCAGGAACCCAGGCAGATGCCACTAGTGTTATGGAACCTTGGCGTAGAATGATTGTCAGTGTGGTGCGGAGATCAGTTGCTCCATGCACGTGGAAAGGCTGTGAGAGAAGTTTTAATGATTTCATGCAATTTCAGGATTAGGAAGGCCAGTCAGCGATATGGCCCATCACAGAGGAACAGGTACTGCGGTACATGCTGTCACTGGCAAACCATCAACTGGCGTCCTCCACAATCACGAATCGCCTTTCTGCCATTACATTTGTTAGTAGGCTAAATGGTTATCCTGATCTTTGCAGTGGTTTTTTTAGTTGGAAGGTTTTTGGCTGGGTGGTCACATACCAGTGGCCCCAGGGTGGATTCCCGTCGTCCCATCGTGGCTTACATACTTAGGGATCTCGTGCAGATCCTCGGCAATGTATGTCATAATGGACAGGAGGCGGCCTTGTTCAGGGCTGCATTCTTGACAGCAGTTTTTGGTGCTTTCAGAATCAGTGAGCTAGTATTTGGGTCCGGTAGGGACTCAACAGGAAGGGCTTTGCAACTGCGGGATATACAATGGCAGGAGCATTCAATGATATTACACTTGCGACGGTCAAAGACAGATCAAGTTGGCCGGGGTGAATCTGTGATTCCCCAGCAGGGTGGTGAGCCTGGGGTCTGCCCAGTTCGGGCTTTGAAGGCCTACAGGGATATATGGCCAGAGGGGAAAGGCCCCCTTTTTATGCACGGTGATGGGAGTCCCCTCACAGCATATCGATTTGTTACCATATTGAGACGGGGGCTGATGAGGTTGGGGCTGCCAGCCCTTGAATTTGGTTCTCACTCATTCAGAATCGGGGCGGCAACGGCAGCAGCACAGCTAGGTATAGGAGCAGAGGCAATCGGGCATTGGCATTTGGATGTGTACCGAACGTATGTAAGGCCTGAGGTGGTAAATCAGCATTCATCTGTCGTAATCTAATTAGAGATATTGGAGGACCAGCCATGCAGACAGTGGTATGGATCTGTGGGCATAGTATTGTCTTTTGTGCCCATAGGCACATGTCCAGGGTTGCCTGAGGGTTCGCAGCTGGGCTTTGGTGATGAGGCGATATTCTTGGCATGCAAGAAGGGGCAAGTTATGGGATCAACTAATACCGATGCTATATGCTGTGCAGGCCCATCAGCAGCCCCCAGATATAATGTGGTGCATTTTGGGGAAAACGATTGGGAATGCTTAAAGGGGTGGAACTAGTGCTCAGAGCAAGGAGGGACTTGGAGGCTGATCCTTGAACTTTTTCCAGGAGTTAACATGATTTGGTCAGACATGCTTCAGTGCAGGGTCTGGTGGGGAGCTATGAGCCCCCCCAAGGAGGACAAGGCAAGGAGGTATGTGAACAGGGAGGTGGCCAAATTTGAACCCGACTAGGTGTGGGGAGGAGGCAGCCAAGCTAATTGCTGGTGCCTCCTTGTGGCAGATGCCCAGTGCAGGTACTCCACAGGAAAGGTATACAGTGACCAGATAAACGGCTTGGAAAAGGACTTAAAAAGAGGTGTTCATTGAAGGTTGGGGAGTTCTATGACTGGTATGTCAGGGAGCCAACCCCCCATTCTTATAGCCAACCTTAACCCTCCTAGGAGGCGGAGGTGGATGGTAAAGTCCCGGCAATGGATTTGTTGGAGGGACCGGGAGGGAAAAAGAGGGGGAGCTGATGGAAACCCCTCACCCCAGGTATGGTAAGGTCCCGGCAATGGATTTGCTAGAGGGGCATGGATGGAAAAAGAGGGGGAGCTGGTAAAAGCCCCCAGGGTAATTATGGAATAAACATGGGGTTACCTGCACTGTACACTGTTATCTGCCAGGTAGTCCCAGACATCTAATAATAAAGTTGCGGCCTGATTAAACAAATGTCAAATGTCTCCTGTCCTTCTTTTGGCATAGCCAGACAACATGTAGATGTAACTGAAAAACTTTGCAATTACAGAAAGCTTTATATTTTCATTGCTGCTGAAATTTTATCAAATTTTCATCAAAATTCTTACACTTTCCACAAATATTGACCATGAAGTATAATATTGTACCAGTAAATTCCTGGGCACATAACATTAATTTAAACATACGCCACTAACTCAACAAAATCAATTTTTGATTTATTTGTCTTTAACATTAACTAGATAATACTTTAAGTATACCTGGTTTCCATTTTATTTTATTCAGAGTAACTTTCTTACTCAAATTGAAAACATTTCCTAACACAGTGTGTGTTTTTTCAGTAATATAGACTTCAGGTCGCAATATTCTGAATAACATTTGGGAAAGATTTAAAATTTGAATGTAGGAAAATCTTTAGATAAAAGTTTATAACACACTGATCAATAATTTGGCATATTATATAGACACAATTTTGCAGAATGCATTAAATAATTAGCTATATAAACTAGCAATATTTATTTTTAATATCTGCAATAAACTATTGAACGTGGCTAAAAATAATACTTTGCATTTCAAAAGTGCTTCTCATCTTCAAAGTGCTTAGCAAAATTAATTAATACACCATTTTAAATTAAGGGTTAATTTCTGCATTGACTTATGCTCCATAAATCCCCACTGACTTCACCTGGATTACATGGAGTAGAAATCAGCAATGAATTTGGCCCTATGTCTAAAAAAGTTTCATAATCTTTTACAAATGTCCTAGTTCTAAAACAAAGAGGATCTGATACCTTTTGCAGTAAGTTTTACTTTGACTGTTTTTACAAAAGCTTGTTTCTTTTCATAATATGCAGCCTCATTCACAAATGTTGGGTATACTGTAGAATCCCCTTCATAATTAATGGTCTCTCCATCAATAGTTAAAAATATAGGATCCCCATTGTTCAGTGGCTGCCAGTCTTGATCCTTATAGGAAATTAGATTATAGATTATGTTAGAAAATAGATTATATCTTCACTTTCATATTTTTTTACAACTTTCATATAAGAGTCTTAAGTTTATTATGCATAGTTATACTACTCTGTACAGTTTATGGCCAAAACTTTCAAAGCACCACTGATTTGGGATGCCTGACCTTAGGCATCTTGGGCCTGATTTTTAAAAGTGCTGAGCACTTGAAATAAATGGGAACTATGAATGCTCAGCAACTCTGAAAATCAGGACCAAGGTTTCTCAAAGGTTTGGCTCCCAAAATTTGAAGTACCTGTTGAAAATGAAAGTATACCATACTTTCTTTTAGTTTTTGTTCAAAACTGAGTTTAGAACTTCCCAAATCAATTACTGAAATACTGTAAACCATTAGCTATAAAACTTATATGAATGGTTCTAAAACAAACCATTGGTGGGTTTGACATAATTGTAAATATCTTGTTTGATGATATACCATATACTATACCGTAAACCAAAAATCAAAGGGAATACCTATAAAAATGTTGTAAATGAAGAATGATAGATTTTACCTGCAGGCTAGGGTGAATAACAGCAGTAATTTCACCATTTTTATTCCTGGGATAATCTACTTTTTCCATTATTTTGTAAATTTCAATTGTACATGGTGGAAATTCCTTTCCTAGAAAGGATAAATATATTTTTAAATGTCATGTCAGCAAATTCCCAGTTAAATAGTACACATAATTTACTATTTTATTTAGAATGGCTGAAGTCATTAATTTGTATCTGTTCATAGTTTATCAGTTAGTAATTAACTCAAGTAACATGAATATGTGTAGCTCCAGATTTCCTAGCCCATGAAGGCCAGGTTGCTGAAAGACGACCCAATTGCTTAACGTTGCATAAAAATCTGGATCTAAATTTGAACAGTATTGTTGAAATCAGGGATCTCAATCACTGCATACACAATAATAAATTTGTTTTGTAGATGAGGAATTCATAAAATCTGACAGCATTATTTAATAGTTAGGGAATTATATTGATGAAAATGCATGCAATTCTTGTTTTCTGACACAATAATGGGGAATTCTTAGATGGCAATGATGTATAGCTATGTCACTGCTTCAAGAATAAACTGACCATCAGCAGTCAAGCAAAAACTTTCCCAGTACAAAAATATTTTAATTTATAACAACTGTGTATTTGACTTTGTATAGGTGCATAACAAAAGTTTATTGACTCACATACAATAATTTGAGGTAAAGGTATACGTAAGAAATGGAAATGAATAAGCTTCTCATTATAAATATTCCTTATTTATATAGCACTCTCAGCGTACACTTACTAGACAATAAGTTGTGAACTATCACTTTATAGCTATGACGTATCTTGTAGGATCAAGTTTCACCATAGTTCTAGATTCTCAAGATTCAATAAAAAAGGGCAAAAGTCATTAATAACAGAAGTTCTTAAGGCTTAAGTCCAATTCTCAGTTCCAACATTCTTATATAATTATTCATTATGCTGTAATTCAGTATGAGTAAAATAAATTGTAAATAATTTATTAAAGACTTTATGAATGAACTTACTATTAATGCTACAATAATAATACAAAATATGAGTTCCATTTGTTTCATTGCAAAATGCTGTAGCTTCATTTATTTAAAAAAATCTACTCTTTTGCAATGAGTTACTAGCCTAGAATAGGAGTGTTCATGCTTGCATGATTTACAATACCTTCATTAAAAATGTGCACAAAATCAAGGCCATGTTTGATAATCTTTCTCATTTTGTCCAAAATATCAGCTCTAAGAACTCCTTGGGGCTGAGGCCCAACTTCCACACCTGTGTACAAATGAGGGAGATATTGATAGACATATTGTATGTCATATGTTTAAAATGCACACTAAAAATATACATGCCTGTGTGTGTGTCTGTGCTTACTGTTTTAGAATTACCAGTTTAATTAACATTGGAGGCAAAATAATGCAATATTTCTCTAACGTTATCCTGTCTATTGCAGTATAAATGAACAGGTTAGCCACTTCAGTTCAGACACAATTTCTCTTTCCTTTATCCCACCATCCCTTTTCTGGTTAACAACCAACATTGCATCCTAGTTTTATTTATGAGAAATAAATACCTCTTCTGAGTTCAACATCAGTACTGCTGATAATCAAACAACATAATTTACTTTCTATCCTAAAATATTATAAATATCTCCAATAAAATAGTATTCTTACAAAAAGTGGATTGATTGAGTGTAAAAAAAAAGGGGGACACTTTAGGATGCAGAATGGATAATTTATTTACCAAATCAAGCCCATACGATTACGAAGCAGGCAGATGAAGCTCATCATAGCAATTTGTTTAACGTAAAGAAACAACTTAGAAAGAAAAATATCTGGAGACAGGCATCTATTTTAATAATTTCTGGGGATTGGAAAGTGGTCTCAACATTCATATTTACCAACAGGGTGTTTTGCTATAGATCGAGTTGTTGCATATTTCAAATTAGGATGTTCAATCAGGAAAACGGGACAGCATTCTGGGGCCAAAGCATTCTGTGAAGATTTGTCAAAAAAAAGTCTTTGTTATTCAAATATTAAAAATTTTGTGCTACAAAAGACTACTGATGCTGAAGTGATTTACACAATGTCTTCAATATGTTGCTTTTATTTCATGGTCCTAAAATAAGTAGGACATCTTTAGAAAACATACAAAGCTATATTTGTTGGTCTGCTTTCTCTTAGCTCATGTCAGGCATGCTCCACTGAACTTTGCTGCACACTAATATAAATGAACACAGTTCCAGTGTTAATTTACCCAGAATCAATTTGCTTTAGGGCAGATTTCAAATATTTTCCTTCTAGCTAGGGTTAGATTCTCTTATGAGACACATGCAGTGAGTTATCCCAGTTCTTTTATATGTCTTGGCAGAAAGCCTTCCTATCCATTCCTTTTTAGATTACTGCCTATCATTTCTACATTTTGATTAGCAGTATGCCAATCCTCATATACTCTTACACATAAAGTGACCACATCTTTGAACAGTATATAAACAGATGGATGGGACACAATGAAGACTAAATATCATATGTCAAAGTATATGAAATATTTTGCAGTATATGAATTAAGGGGGGGAGGGTTTCAAAATGTACCATATTGACCTAACTTTGCTCCCATTAAAGACAATAGGAGGCTTACCATTCACTTCAGTAAGATAACAGGCCAACACGGAGCACTTTTGAAAATCCCACCCTAAACGTGTATCACTTGCAATACCAACAAGATTAAACATTTCTAGCACTTATTAGTAGTGCAGCCAATGTATATCAGGGTTTCTTTTGTCATAGCCTTATTCCATAAATTTTTCAAGTCTGCATTTTAAATAACTAATGTCTTACAAAATTTTGCATTCAGCCTACATTTTTTCCCAGCTTTATGACAGACTAGTTTAAAAGCAGACCCAACGATCTTTATGTTTTTATTAATTTTGCTGTGTGTGTTTTTTGCTACTGGCCCCACATTTGTCTTATTAACAGATTAATTTATTTACTAGTTCTGTCTATATCAATTGTGATCATGACAGGTTGGAATCAGTACTAACCAGTATTGGACCCAATTTAATAATTCTTTGTGATAGTAAATGTCCCATTCTATAATTAGTTTTAATATTCTTTACCAAACATTTTAGCAAATTAAAACAAAACAGCATAAATGTATTTAAATAAAGGCACAAAGTTGATATACAATAATATGTTTCAAATACAAATCTACATGTATTCTTATACTTTATTAAAAATTAGTTTTTACCTTAATATAATGAAACATCTGGATTGTAAAGTTATTCCTGGAGTTTTCAAGAATAAGAGTGCCACCCATGTTAGAAGTTGTGTTGTGAAGGTCAAAAATAAGGTCATAGGCATCATCACTATCTTTTGGACCAAATACATGATTGATTTCCTGAGCCCTTCTCACTTCATATGGAATATCTTCTATCATTTTCCTGCTGTTAATATTAGTACAAAGAAATTAATTAACCAATTCTATAGCTTTGCTGTCAACAAAAATTAGAGTATCTTTTTCATTTGATTTTTCCATAACTGATTAGAATTGATATGCCATATACAACTACCCTATCAAACTGTTTGACCTATAAAGGTTGTGCTGGAACTCAACAAGTATTAATACTAGTAGGCAATATGTCTTGCCACTGCCTCTATCAGTATTTTGCAAGATTTCTCACCTAATCTAAAATGGTATTTTACATTACTTCTGCTTTACTTCTTTGCATTCGCTCCCAGTTCAAAATGGTTGAAATGCTCCCTCTGTACAGAAAGGCAGCACAAGATTTATGCACCATGTAAAGTCATTTCTAGGGCCTAATCCAACATCTGTTGAACACAGAAGTCTTTCAGGAGTTAGTTCATGCCCTTAGACCTGGGTCTTGATCTATAATGTCTTTCATGGATTGTTTCCTTTTTGATCTACTTCTTACTTTTCATATTGTGACCAGATTCTTAAGATCCTTTGGTTTGGGTCCTCCTGCTCCACAAAGCAGATGATACTTATGGATTCCATCTCAAATTCTTTCCCTCAAGATTTTAGTAAATTCCATCTCAATGTCTTTAAGACTAAATCAAACTGTTCTTTTTAATATAGTTTACAGTTGTGAGATTTTATAGTTGAATGTACTGTACTTTATTAATTTCATTGTAAAATGGCATCTGATATGATGTCATAGTCTATAATTTTATATCTTTGTGCTTTCATTTAATTGAAATTGAGAACTTCTTGGGATAAGGGAAAGATGTAAGTACTCTGGGTAAAATCTTGCCCTACTGAAGTCAATGAGAGCTATGTCATTGCCTCCAATGGGGCTGGAATATCACACTCTATTTTTGTAAAGCCATTGATAACTGTATGTCTCCACATCAGAAAAAAAAAGTATAATAGTCTTCTAAATGTACTTACTAATGCTCTAGGCTTGAGTAATCTGTTGGGATTTACTGAGAAATATTAGTAAAGTTATACAAAAAATATTTTAGAAGAAATACTTTAAATTAGATAACCTGACAGTACATTTATTAAACCATTCCAGTTTCAAAGCAGGTGAAATAATAAACAGGAAGACAAAGCAGTTATTCTAAATGCATAAGTATATGTATGCATAAACAGTTAAAAAGTTGGTGCAGACCTTTGTCTCTTGCCAAGTATTTACCTTATAAGTGGCACAACCAATAAAATAATTCTCTCTTAGATAAAATGCCAAATGAAAATGCATAGATGCATTGTAAAGACAAATATTTTATACAGCATGTATGATATAAATGGTCTTTGCTCGTATCCACCTTTCCCATCAGGACCTTTGTGTTGCATAATTATCTGTTGAGTGTGTAGATCTATAATTCTTAAAAATGCTTGGTTCACCTACCAAAGTCCATTTCAACTGTTAACATCTTAAACACAGAGCTAACACAAAGTTCCATTAAAAATGTCATTTATCATTGTAAAATCACTTAAAAAACTCTTAAATCAGAATAGTTACACTTTGTTTTACATTATGTAAATCAAGAAATACAGTGTGATCGCTTAATTTATTGACAATTTTGTCTGTATAATTTTGCCATACTATGCATATTTCAAACTTGACTGTTTTCACATTTCATTCTACACTATATGTGACTGAAATTTAAAATACTCTCTATTTATATAACATGTGTGTTCTTTCTCAGAGACGCTTGATATCATATTTATCTATATTTAAATAGCCAGTTGTTAAAACACAAAGCTATGTGGCTACCAGTACAGTGGCATTAACAACGGTCTGAAAGTTAAATTGCCCAAGGGGTTTATTTCAGGACCTGTGAGAAATGACACTGTCACTCAGAGTAATAGCAATACTTTAACTTTACATGAATACAGCAAATTCTTTATTGATTTTAAATATAGTCTAACTTCCTATGACAATTTGTCTCTTGTTGTACTAGCCCTATTTAAACAGTGAATCAACTAAGTACATTCTATTTGGTCTTTCTGGGTTAAAGGTCAGTGAACGTTATCATGCGGTTGCACTGTCAAAAGATTAGTGGTGTTCATGTAAAAATTTTACCAATAAAATAATAAAAGAAGCTCCTGATAACATTTAAGATAGAAAACTAAAAATACACAAGCACATAGTTATTCTTACCCAAGATTATCAGGATCAAAAACTCGGTTCAGGTCACAGTCAATATATCTAGTACATTTCTTCACAGCTCTTGGGTTAGTAATAAATGGTCTCACTTCCAGCCCTGTTCTTTGAATCTCAGCTCCATTCTCTTCCCAATGCTTGACCAAAAATACCCCTGATAACTCATTGCCATGAGTCCCTCCAAAGATAGCAACTCTTCGTACAGGAGCCTCATGAACGACATAACAGGAAGTCATTCTATTAAGCTGTTTTAATGATTGCTGCAATCAAAAAAGAAAATAACAGCAAAGTAAAACATTTGTTCCTAAGAAAGGATAGAAAATGTTTGACTTTTTATCTGTCTAGACCAGATGTTAACTGAAGTGTATTAACATTTCTCTAACAAGTCTTACCAGTTTTCTGTTGCAATACATGGGTGTTGCTAACCTGACACTCCTCCTTCCCAAGACCTGCCCTTCTTTGTACCATATTTGGATCATAATATGTATAAATCAGCTAAAGATACAGTCATATAGTTCAATCACTAACTCCTGTACTCAGTCTGTAATGTTATACAGTGTATAATCAAATACTATACTAATGAAAAACAGTATAATTTTTAATTTGTACTTTAAAATAATGTTCACATTCTACACTGAAAATCCACAGAATGCTAGCACTTCAGATTAAATGTATCAGGTATATTTGTGCATCACTTCATGTGTGTTTTATATTACATAGCCAGTACAATATGCAATAGAGAAACGGTTTAAAGTGAGCAAAAATACACAACAAAATATGAAGTTATGATTTCACATCTTAGGTATTGTGAGAGACATAATGCTGAAAGCTCATTACTGTCAACTACCAAAGAAGTGCGGGTATCAAAGTACAGCTGGTTTTCTTGAAGTGTGTTTATTGTTTGTGTATGTGTATGTAATTATATATAATATATATATATAATATGACAGTTTTATCATACTTAGCTAATGAACAGTGACTGCAGGAGGCTTAATTAAAAATTAAAATTCAATATATTCACATCAAAGTGTAATATTCTTGGCCCCAATGTTGCAATGGGATCTGTTAGCATGGACCTCTGTGCCAGTGCAGATTATCTAACCGGTGTTTTAAATTTCTAACTTCTATGATTCTAATGATTCAAAAAAGAGATAGATGTAGCCAACATAAGATCAAATAGTTGTACTTGCCTCTCAAAATCTTCAGAGGTCAAGAACCTGCCTTTTTCCAACTTCAGAATTGTTCCATAATCCCAGTACGTACACCATAACTACCATTCACAAAGGACATCCTGGCAATGTTTTATGGCCAGCACTATCCTGCAATCCCAAGCCGTTATATGAGGTCTTCTACAAGTCTAGACTAGCCTGAACACACCCTACTGTGAACATTTCACACATCCTTTCCTAAAGGCTTTTACCATATAGTAGTATAACTTGTAGAAAAAAAGGTCTCAGCAGGAAAAAACAGCTTTTTTATAGGCAAGAGTAATCTGTACTAATTGTAATTACAACTCTGTAATGACTCACTGCACACCACAGAGATACAAATGAACTCTACATTTCAAGCGTATAAAATATAATTGTTGTCAAGATTTGCTTTCTCTCTGTTAGAATTTATATAGGATTTATATTTCAATCATCCAGAAAAGATTTCACTGCTATGTGAGAGAGGTTTTATAAGCAAGATTTGATATGTTATAGATATAAGAAAAGCTGAACACAGGATTCATACATCTTGACTAAATCTACTGGCAGTGTACTCACATAATAAAACTTACACTTTAAATTTCAGCCTATGCATACTGATTTACTGAGCCTTGTAGTGAACTAATCTGGATAGACTGTGTTTATTCAGACACCTAATGGTATTATTTCTTCACTTTAGTAACTTGTCACATAGTTTAACGAAAGATAACTGTGGTAAATAATTTATTAAACAAACTAGAATGGTTATATTTTACACAAAAAGACTGTTTTGTACCATCCTTTGACCCCATTGCTTTTGGTCATGGTTCCAAAGCTATTACTTACACAGTGACTGAACAAATGACTCACACTTTGAAACTTGTTTAAAGAATTTAAACAGTGCAGCACTTTGAAAGTAAACTGTAAAATGCAAATACACAGTGCTAGTAAACACAGTTTCTCTTTTATTTTTGAATGTATAATAATGTTTATAATTCCTTGCAAGAGGTTGAGTGAAACACAGCAATTATTTATACACTTACCTCATTTAACATGCAAGAAGTTTGTCTCCTAAGAAGAGCTTTAATAGAAAAGATACAGTGCATTTTCAAACATGAGTTTAGGACTAAAGCCAAGGAAGCTTCTTTTATACCCTTAAAGCAAGTTAACGTCCAAAGAATTTTTAACTCCTGGTTTCCCAGTACTAACTCTAGTGGATTTGTGGTCATAAATGAAAAAAAAACATTTAAAGAGTTTTCATTCTTCTGAGTTAAGATGCTGACAACAATGTAATCCCTTATTACTGTGTTGTGCACCAACATCTATATTTGGTATCCCTGGAAAATTATTCAGGCACTTATTTTGTCTTCTTTAATATCATTTTAGGGTTGTTTTGTTTTGTTTTTGTGTTCTGTAATTATTGCTTTTTTATTTGTGCAGCAGTACAAAAGCCTTAAGAGCAGGGTTGGGAGGACTTTGAAAAGTTATTACTAATGATAATAAAGCTATTTAGTCTAAATAATTGTATAGAGGTTCCTCTGTGTATTTTCCCGCACAATGCTCTGTGTTGGAGTGACTGGCTGCCCTAAAGACTGAAAGCTGAACTTGACTGCCTCCAAAGAATATTAACATAGGGCTGCATCTACCACTGTAACAGACAGTTGCGCCTGAAAGCAAAATACTAGACGCAGCAAAATGTTCAGTAACTACTTGTATAGGTCAGTGCAGCCTGGTAGGAGTGGATATTTGCCAACTTGCTTAAGGCATCATAGTGCTTAGATCCACCCCTATCAGCACTACTTTAAAGACAGGAAAAGAGTGTTGCTCCACTTAAACAATAAGGGCTCCATCCCTAGGGGAGCAGAGTGACTCCTCTGCAATGCACACAACTCATGCCAGACTAGAAGCAATGGGCAGAACCCTGCTACTTTAGCTAGGATCCCCTGTGTGAACTAGTAATTACTGCAGTAGGCAGTGGATCTCCTACACTTAAATAAATTGATTACAATGAAGATGATAAGACTAATAATATCTGTAACTGTAAAGACTGGGCATGTTTCTCCTATCCAGATAACTGGGGCACCTGGACCTTTTCAGCCCCAAATAAATGAATCCTTTGTTTATATTTAATTGGTAGCCCCATTAAGTGCACTATACATCTTTTAAAGTTTTGTATGAAATACTATTTGTCAGACTATCTTCCAAAGCACCCAGAGCTTAGGCTAAGGGCAGTTCTAAAAAACACACACATCTACATTATTTTAGCTGGGTGTGATTGTTTTAATTGTGAGGTTCCCAGGTACTTTATTTATTTTCACAATGTTTTTTCTTGCAGAGGTAAAAGCCTGCCCACAGCTAATGGCTGAAGAAAAAGCCACTCAGAGGACAAAGGGTGAAACCCAGCCCAGAGCTGATTGTTGAGGGGAAAGTCTGTCACAGGCTGGAGATAAGTGTATATAATATCAGTGTTCAGGAGGATTTATTGCATGTTTCTGTTGGAGTTCTGGCGCCCCCTAGGCGCTATCCTGGGCAAGCAGCGATGCAATACAATCCAAAGGGAAATTACTTTATTCTTTTTGTGCAACCAATCTCCCTGCTTAGCTTGTGCTCTCCCCACGGGGCTGTGTGCCCCCTGTCATCTGTGCCTTACACAGCCCCGCACCCTCCACACACACATTCATCCTCTCAGAGTCTTCCCCCAGTCCCCAGCTGTGGAGAGAAGGAGCGAACACGGCGGAATGGAGGAGCGCTAGTCTGCGCTTTCCCGCCTTTCCCCCGCCTCGCGCTGAAGTAACCGCTTCTTCCAGCCGTTGATTTTTGGCGGGCTTGTTATCAGCCTTCCCTCAGACTCGTCCACTAGCTCTGGGCAGCGTTTCAGCCCAGCTGCTTAAACCCTGATCCTGGAGCTGGGTTTTCCCGCTTTCCTAAGCCCTGGGAAGGGTTTTACCCCAGTTTCTCCTCCGCTCCTTGTCCTGTCACGGGCTTGCCCCTCAGTCGTTAGCAGTGGACACGTTTTTAACTAAAAGTCACTGTAAAATCACACACAGCACAACAAGATCTGAGGCCATACAATTAAATTACAGGATTGTATGCTTTTTATTTTGTTTCATTTTACAAATCTCACACATTTATTTTCATTGATGGGTTATGGAACCACCAAAATGTGTTTGAAATACAAACTATTACAGATCTCAGGGCCAAATTCAGCCCTAATTTATGCATGTGCATCTGTCATTGATGTGCATGACATAAATTAGGTTATAAATTAGCTATATATATATATATACATATATATAAGTCTGTCTATTTTATGGATTAGGTAGTTGAGCTCTGATCCTACAAACATGCAAGACATTACCCAGATCATAGTTAAGCATGTATATGAGTATTTTCAGCATTTTATATGCTAAGAATCAGGACAAGTAATTAATGTATTTGTGGCTTTTTACTACTATTATTATTAATTTTGGTAATCATTTAGGGCTCCATTGTGCAAACACACAAGAATAATTTTTGCTGGATCAGCCCTGTACAATACAGCCAACTCCACCTAACATTGCTACCTGCCCAGGTTTTCCCAGGATCATGACTTTTTTGAGGTAGCTGTCCTGGGAAATCTGTAAGGGTACTCAGTAAACACTGCCAGCTGTCCAGTTTTATGGGTTGTTCAGTTTTATGGAAGTCCTCTTTTTTTTATACCTCAGATATGGCAACAGTAAATTCAAACATTAAAAAATGTTGAGTCAGGACCCTCAAAGTGACATTAGTTAAAAATAATAAGATTAAAAATAATAAATTTTGGGTTCTTTTTATTTTTCTTTAGATTTCTGAGGCTTTAAGGTATACAGAACTTGCTTCACTTTTTCAAGCTTTTCTCTGCATCCCGGGATAGAAACTTACTTTTATTTATTTATTTATTTATTTAATGAGAGCTATGATTCTCATGCATTCTCTTGATTCCAGTAGGTTAAGCTTCAATAAAAACACCCAGTATCTTAAGACTCACAATAAAATGAAGAAAGTTGGCAACACTGTTTATATAATACCACAATTAGATATCATTTTACAAAAGTTTTACAAGACTCATGTAACTATCACATCTAGAAATGAGCAAAATTTAATTATTCTGTTATAGTGATTTTATGTGCACAAATATGTGACACTGGGTCAGATGCGATTAAAGCCATTTTAAACATTTAAAGTGAAATGATAAAGATAGAATAGAAACTCAAACTGTGTGGTCTAGAAATAAAATACCATATGTGCATTCTAATTCACTGTTTTTACTTATAATACCGTCGTGGATTACTCAGAAAGGAAGCATGGCAAACAAAAATTCATTTATATCAAATGTGAATGTACTTTAAAAGTTAATTTCTGTTCATTCTTCCCACAGAATCTCCTGTTTATAATGATGGATTCTGGTCATATCAAATACCTGTTGCAAAAGGAAAGTGTTTAAAAGGTTTTGGGCCTATACAGTATTCTTTAGAACAGCAAATTTATCTCTTTCATTTTCACATCGTGTGCAATGGGTGCAGTGACACTATTTTTCATAAAATAGTTAAACCTTCAGTTCTTATTCATAACCACAAGGCATTCCATTTTGATAATTAACTTTTCAGGGTTTATTATAGCACCACACTTTATAACAATGTTAAAGTTATGGTTAAGTCATCACTTTCCTTTTAATTCCCTATTTTCAGGGACTTATACAAAATTACCCTTTGAATTGAAAGTTATAATGATTTGTTTTCAATTGAAAGGTGAAGATTTTTTAGAATGTTTAAATTTATCAAAAATAAACCTGGACAAAAATAGATGTAACTATGCAAAATATTTTTTTTACTTCAAAAATGTAATAACTGGGGCCCTGATCCTGAAAAGTCTTACTCATGTGGTATAATTTTATGCACATTAATGGTACCACAGAAATCTGTGAGACTACTCACATAAATAAAGTTAAGAATGCGCCTAAATTGATATACATAAACTGTTACACAAATAATGAAGTGAAGCTGATGAAAAGCTGCGTGTACTTTAGTTATATTTATAATGTGAATTAGAGTTTTTTTTCTACAGGCAGATTTAATTGAAATATAACTTTCACATGGGGAATTTGGAATAGTGAATAAATTATTGCATATTTGGATATTGTGAAAGAAATGAAGAGAAATTTAAGTGACAGTTCATCTCGTAGCACAGCAGGTATCAATCACTTTTTATTACTGTACAATTTGAAAATCATTTTATCAATGTATTTACCCAATTCTGCAAACACTTCCTACTAAGCCAGACCCCAGTGCTCAAATAGAGTTCCACTAAATCTGTACCTTATTGGAGAGTTGAGGTCATAGTGGTAATGTTGAACTCAGTGAAACCATTCACAGAGTGAAGAGTTTAGCACATGTGCAAGTGTTTGCAGGACTGGGGTTTTAGATTGTAAACTCTTCAGTGCAAGGGCCTTGCCTTCATTACGAAGTACCACACTTTCAGGTGATATAAAATAAATAATAAAGATAATAAAAATGGATAGAAATGTTAATTAAGTAATTATCATTTACCCATTTTATGAATGGAAAATGTAGATTGTGTATCCCTTAGCCAGAAGGATTTTATGGCATTCCAACAGTATCTGATACAGTTATTTTAATTTATATTTAGGTTTTCTACCTGTACCACTGTTCAATCAGAAAAAAAGAACCAGACAGCCGCTCACTTCAAATCCACTTAAAAATGAGCCAAGTACGAGCACTGTGACTCATAGTTATGACTTTTCTGCTAGAACAACTGGTAAAATAAGATTTTTTTTAAAAAAACAGCATTTAAGGCAGTTTTAATTTTAATTTTATAATAACATTTTGTAAAAGTTTTAAGTCATCTTTATCTAGAGCTCACAAGCATACTTTAAGTTTTCTGTAGAAAAATTCATTTTGTGAGAGAAAAATATGTTCTACTCTTTTCTGTCCTGCAGTAAGTTTCTTTCTCCTCTGTATAATTAAGCCATTTTAATGTGTGCTTGCAGGGAAGTTGACTTTTTTCTGTTTTAGAGAATGAAGTAGCATGTTGGCATTTAAATGCCTCTTGAAATGGTGACCTTTTGGTTTTGGGTGGTTTCAACAGAAATTCAAGGTCCATGTTACAGGATGGAACATTTATACTGTGCTATTGTAGTCTTGTAAAAGAGAAATAATCTATCCTCAATACTGTGTTTTTAAAAGGCTCTGACATAGAATTCTCCCAGGATTATTTATTGTCATCATTGTTATCCCTACAATCACTGCTTAAAATAAATTTTTTTTTGTGCTTACTACAGACAGTTATAAAACTGGTAGCT